GTGGGAATCACCGCTGTGCCAGTGCTCTTGCTGAGGCAGTACGTGCGGTGCGGTCTTGGTCCAGCCAGACGGGAGGCCAAGGTTTGGCGTGTGGCCCCGCTGTAAAATGGGTTGGTCAGGGCAGAGCAGACGTGTGCCATGTGTTGGTAATCACAGCCATGTGTCTGCAGGAGCTGTGCGCTGGGTGCTGCTGGGTTCCCTGCCCTCTGCAGGCAAACGGGGAGCTTGCACCTTCCCCGCTCCAGAGCCCTGGGCGTGCTGCTTTCAAATGGTTCTGTAATGTCCAGCTTCTAATCCGGGCATTTCTCCTCTTGTTCTAGATAATTCACCTACCCAGGTGTACAACTACCAGCCCTGTGACCACCCTGAGCATCCCTGTGACAGCTCCTGCCCTTGCATCATGACTCAGAATTTCTGTGAGAAGTTCTGCCAGTGCAACCCTGACTGTAAGGAGAAACCTAGGACTGTCGGGCAGGAAAGCAGCCAGCTCTCCTGACACAGACCAGAGGGAGGGTGCAGAGCTGGGACTTACTGGAGGCCTGCTTTATTCCTGCACTCACTGCTCTGTCCATCTGCAGCAGTTGGATTAGCAGTCTGCTAAAACCCAAGGGGAAGCCGTTCCATGCTGGTTCCCTGAGAGCAGGATGTGTGGCCAGCAGTTAGGGTGGGAGTTGGGTCACTGCTCTGCCATGGTTATTTTGCCTCTCTGGGCTTCAATTCCCAGCTCTGCAATGGAGATAACCAGGCTTGCCCACATTGATGGGGCTTCTGAGGGTGCGTTTGTTAAGGGTTATGACACAGCTTGGGGCTGGAAGGACTTACAGGGTGACAGGGAGCCAGCTCAGGCTCCAAGATTCTCTCTACTGATCTGTTATGTTGATATTATCTGAGTTATTTTCAAATTGCACACAGTTAGTCCCAAGAGGCAGATCAGCATCTCCAGCCACGCAGATGGGAAGGACCTTGTGTGCGGTCTGTGCTTTGCTAGGTGTGAGCAGTGCTCAAAGCTCCCGTCCACACAGCGTGTTCCTGTGATTTGCTTCCAGCTCCGGGGTGCCCAGGCTGCCTCACGCTCACCTTGTCTCGTTGTGTTCTTAGTGAGCGCTGTCCTGGTGACTTTGGGAGGGGTAGGAAGGTGGTCTGGGGGCTCCTGGCTCTGCTCCCTGGAGCAGAGTGGGTACAGAGCTCTGTATTAGCTCAGAGGCCTTCCTTATGTTAGCAGGGTGGTGGGCAGGCAGCGTGGACCTTGGGAGCAGACAGGCTTAGTTTTGTACCTGCCCAGGGCCTGCCAGGGTGGCTCGGGAGGAGCTTCTGTGCTCCTGCGGGCCTGAAAAACCTCATGGTGCAAAACCAGGGGCTGTGTTGCTGCAGGTCAGAACCGCTTCCCAGGCTGCCGCTGTAAAACCCAGTGCAACACCAAGCAGTGCCCGTGCTACCTGGCTGTGCGGGAGTGCGATCCAGACCTCTGCCTGACCTGTGGGGCTTCGGAGCACTGGGACTGCAAGGTGGTCTCCTGCAAGAACTGCAGCATCCAGCGAGGTCTCAAAAAGGTATTGACAGCAGCATGGCTCTGGACTGCTGGCAGGGGGCTGCCTCGGGGTAGAGCTGATAAAGAGAGCTCCTGCTGCGTGGGAGAGGCTGTGCGAGCCACCCGCAGCTGAGTCAGGAGGTCTGGAAGAGAAGCTGCTCTGCCCCAGGCTTCTGTAGCAATTAATCTGGAATATGGATTATGGATGTGAAAATCAGGAGATGGGAGTTACATGAGGAAGGGTGAGAGCAAGGGAGTGTAAAAAGTGACTCCAGAGAAGGGTTAGGTCTTGAATTCTGCTGATCAGGGCAAGGGACTGCACGTAAAAAAGACCAAAATTCAGAGAAAGATGCAAATTAGTGGGTGTCGAGTAATGTGCAGCTCCAGCCTAGTGCTGCTATGATCTGTAAGTCTGAAGGGAGCTGTGTGTCACCTTGAACCAGGGGATGCTGGCTAGACACCGGCTCCCCTTTGCTCCTCAGAGTTACTTGACGCCGTGACGTTGGGACACTGAGCAGCCAGCACAGCACGCCTGTTCCTGGGCACTGCCCTAACCCCGGTGTGCGCAACCGTGCCGGGAGGCGGAGAGCTCTTCACTGTTGCTTTCTGGCCTGCCTGATGCACGGGGTGTGATCTCGGGATGCTGGGAGGTGGTGGGCCTGCCGACCGTAACCGTTTCCTTTTCACCTTGGCTCCAGCATTTGTTGCTGGCACCGTCAGATGTCGCTGGCTGGGGGACTTTCATCAAGGAATCTGTGCAGAAGAATGAGTTCATCTCCGAGTACTGTGGTGAGGTCAGTGCTTCTGCCCATGCTGGGGCTGCTGTGCCGCGTGCTCGGGAGGCTGTGTTCAATGGCAGTGCTTCCTTCGGCTGCGGGGCCTGCTCGGCCTGCCGGTCCCGCGGGGACAGCGTGCCCTCCCCAGCTTGGCCGTGGCCACGGGCTCACCCTGACCAGGTTTAGAGATTGATCTTGCACCATTTTGGGACCCATCTCGGTACCTCGAGGCCCTCCACTGTGTTGTGTATGCGCTGCTCCCTGGGAGCCCAGCTCTTGTCTCTTCTCCCTCCCTGGGAGCCCTGGCGAGCTCCTGCCCGTGGGGTGGGAGGGCAGGAGGGTGTTTCCAGGAGGTAAGCGAGCACTTCTGCTCCCAGCGATCCTCGCTGTGCCCTCAGGCGCCGAGTCTCTCAAGGTGTTGTCCTTTTCCAGCTTATTTCACAGGATGAGGCTGACCGGCGAGGGAAGGTCTACGACAAATACATGTCCAGCTTCCTCTTCAACCTCAACAATGGTAACTCACCTGGGGCTTCGAGGCGGGGAGGAGACTTGGGCTTCCTGGCAGGGGCCCGTGGCCAGGCGGGCAAGTCTGAGCCCATCTGTCACTTAAGCAGCATGCCTGTCTTTATGCTACAGTTTTCTTTGTTTTTTTTCCTTAATAGATTTTGTTGTTGATGCCACCCGCAAAGGAAATAAAATCCGCTTTGCCAATCACTCAGTGAACCCCAATTGCTATGCCAAAGGTGAGATATCCCTGCCCAGTCAGAGCTCGGGGGGGGAAGGTTCTCTGGGGTTGTGCTCAGCTCCAGGATTGCAGTGGATTCTTCAGGGTCCCAAGTCACCCTGAGCCTGTGGGAGCAGCAGAACTTCAAAGACCTGGAAAAAGTCTCCTCCTCTCTGCAGCAAATCACGTTCCTGATGGCGAGGGCCACGCTCAGCTCTGCGGTGGCCCTGGCCTCTCAAGGAGAGATCGCTGCTAGAGAGTGGCTGGGAGCTCCCCGGGGAGCGCCCCGTGCCCGCTGGGCAGGAGCTGGGGTACCGTGGCCCCGGGGGGTGGCAGCTGGCCAGGCAGGGCAAAAGTGCTGCAAGGCCTCCTGGCCTGAGCTGGAGCTGCGTGTCTCTGATGTCGTCTCTCTGGTTGCAGTTGTGATGGTGAACGGAGACCACCGGATAGGGATCTTTGCCAAGAGGGCCATCCAGGCGGGAGAGGAGCTCTTCTTCGATTACAGGTACCTTGGGGAGCGACCGGCTGGGGACTGGGGTGCAGGGTTGACCCCGCTTTCTGTGTGCTCGTTTGTGGGGAGCGCAAGAGGTCATTACAGCAGCCGTGATTTTCCTGTCTTGTAGGTACAGCCAGGCAGACGCCCTGAAGTATGTCGGCATAGAGAGGGAGACGGATATCATCTAGGCTCTGTGCAGGGTGGTCCCCAGCACTCCTTGCTGCTGCACCTTGTAAGCAATGCCATGTTTGCTTCACGCTGACATGACTGCTGCTGTTCCCGTTGCTGTGTGTGTCACAAGTGCTACTTTCCATCCAGACGCCCAGAGAGAGACTCGGGGCAGGAGTGTGAGCGGCTGCTGCCGGGGCAGCAGCTTTGCCGGCCCTGGGCTGGGGCAGGCTCCGGAGCCTTGCTCTGTGGGCAATCTCCCGGGCTGGAGGGAGCCCGTGGACCAAGGCAGCTGGGGCTTGAAGAAAAGCTGTGGTGCAGGAGGAGGGACAGCCGTGAATTCTCGGTCTCTTTCCATTTTCTCCCGACTGCTGGAAGAACGAGAGCGAGTGAGGTACCACCTGCACCGAGACCTGGGGGGCGGAGGGGCTGGTGCTCCCCTCCAGCCCTGTCCCCTGGGATAGGCTCTGGTCTCGGGTTCTACCTTTTGCTGCCTGTTTTGTGCTGTTGACAAGGACAGCGACAGGGTTGGAAGCTGCTGTCGCTGTGGCTCTGTTTCCCCTCTGCCCCAGCTGGCTGGGGGACAGAGATGGCCTAGCTGTGGCTGGCATGGCACAGCACTTGGGGATGGGGAGAGCAGCACTATGCAAAAAGTCACTTTGGGTAGGGACGCCACTGAGCTGGTTAGAGACAGTGTTATGGGGGTGCTGCTGCAAGCACGAAAGAGTCCAGAGGCAGCAGGAACTGAGGAAGCCCTTCCAGCCTGCGGCGTTTTCTCATGGCTGTGGCGTGGCTGTTCAGCTCGTGCCCGTCCCCAGCTGCTCTGCTGCCTGGCCCTTCTGGGGCCGGCGCATGGATGCTTCTGCCAGGCAGCTTTGGGGCCGTGGCGGGGGAACTCCTGCTGACCTGCTGGGGCTGCACCCAGCCTCCACCCTCCTGTGTCAGGACAGTCCCCTCAGAGCAGCACAGGTCCGTGGGAGGTGTCGGGGACTTTAGGAGCCAGCAGAGCGGGTCCCCTCAGGGCGGGAGCCTTCGGTTGCACAGGATTTTTTGAATGTTGCTGCGCCGAGGTTTGAACGGGGCGCAGCAGACCTGCCGCTGCCTGCGCTGACCTGGGGAAGGGGACCTCGGAAACCTGCCTAGGGGTTTCTAACACTCTGGCCCTGGGGATGAAGGGGAAATGTTCTCTGGCAGGGTGAGGTTTGGCCTTAGCACCCCATGCAAAAAGAAAAAGAAAAAAGCACTTTAAACTAATCCTTCTCAGCCAGCAGCTGGGCCCTGTGTACCGCTCTGGGGGTGGAGGGAGCACGGACGTCTCAGACGGCTGTCATCCCTCAGCAGCACCTTTGCAGGGATGTTGCTCCAGGCCTGGGACGGGGCAGTCTGGATGGAGGGGCTCTTCCCTGAGCCTGGGGTAACCTGAAGGATGGGGCTGTCCCGTGGGAAACGCGTACGCTGCCAGCCCACTGCCCGACCTGATGCTGGGTGCCGGAG